GCAAGACACCAGGTCCAGGACTTGAACCGCAGTCAGCCATGAGGGAGTCCAGGGCCCTTAACCACCATGCCACCTGCCAACCCCTTTCCATCATAAGCTACAAAAAGGCAGATAGGATCTAGGCCTCAGTGGCTGAACGAAGACCACTGCCGCTCTGCAGTGAACCACTGGTGCTGTAGTTCTCCAGTACGCACAGACCTGGACACTGCAAACGTCTGTCAAGACCGACTGCAGGTACCCACTGACGCTCCTCCTAGGACAAGCTTCTGCCGGTCATCTCCTAGATGACTCCCATGGCGTCATGAATGACATGAAAAATAAGGCTCAAGTGCCCTTTAGAATGAGGTAACGTACACGCCAGGCAGTTTTCATCGCTGACGTGTAAAAAATGCAGCTCATTGAAACATTCCCAGCGACGGGCAGAGGCAGGAGCCAGCCTGACTCCAACCAGCTGCTGGGTGCCAGCACACCGGTCTTACCTGTTTGTATTCGGATTCTCTCCCAACCAACACCTGTAGGATGTAGCTGACAGGGTCGCCTTTCATGGGTGGTACCGTCTCCCATAAAATCTCACACGAGTTTCCTTCCAACTGTGTTACTCGAGGTGCTGAAATACAAATCCGCACAAACTCAAAATTCCAAGTATCCTGTTCACAGTCAACATTTCAGCCTAATTAGTGAGACTCCAGATAGGGCAGGATCAGGCCTACGTCTAACCCTGAGAGGGGACTCAATGCCCAGCTCCCCAGAAACCAGCAGGGTGGCCGTTAGGCACCGACAAGTCCTGAGTAGAAAGCCCCAATGAAAAACCCTTTGCTCATCCTCCCAGGAATAACTACTTGGCCTGGATGACCTTGCTACTCCTCTTCCAATGGTTATTGGGCACCTTCTGTGGGGTAGGCCTGGTGTCAAGTACCTGGAGGATGCAGAAATAGGTAACATAGACCCTGTATTTGAGGGACCTCAGACATAGCGGAGGGAGGAGAAGAGAAGGTGTAAGTAGAGAAACATAAGCAGATTCCCATGGGAGGGACAGGTACACGTCGGGGTTCAGGAAGAGAGTGGGTATATCCGTGTGAGGGGAGGCGAGAGAGGAGAATTTCCTGTCTACAGAATGGGCAGCATTGAAAGCCTTTACCAGTTACATGTATACTCATTCTGTAGTTGTCAAGACCGACTGCAGGTACCCAGTGACGCTCCTCCTAGGACAAGCTTCTGCCGGTCATCTCCTAGATGACTCCCATGGCGTCATGAAACAATGACATGAAAAATAAGGCTCAAGTGCCCTTTAGAATGAGGTAACGTACACGCCAGGCAGTTTTCATCGCTGACGTGTAAAAAATGCAGCTCATTGAAACATTCCCAGCGACGGGCAGAGGCAGGAGCCAGCCTGACTCCAACCAGCTGCTGGGTGCCAGCACACCGGTCTTACCTGTTTGTATTCGGATTCTCTCCCAACCAACACCTGTAGGATGTAGCTGACAGGGTCGCCTTTCATGGGTGGTACCGTCTCCCATAAAATCTCACACGAGTTTCCTTCCAACTGTGTTACTCGAGGTGCTGAAATACAAATCCGCACAAACTCAAAATTCCAAGTATCCTGTTCACAGTCAACATTTCAGCCTAATTAGTGAGACTCCAGATAGGGTAGGATCAGGCCTACGTCTAACCCTGAGAGGGGACTCACTGCCCAGCTCCCCAGAAACCAGCAGGGTGGCCGTTAGGCACCGACAAGTCCTGAGTAGAAAGCCCCAATGAAAAACCCTTTGCTCATCCTCCCAGGAATAACTACTTGGCCTGGATGACCTTGCTACTCCTCTTCCAATGGTTATTGGGCACCTTCTGTGGGGTAGGCCTGGTGTCAAGTACCTGGAGGATGCAGAAATAGGTAACATAGACCCTGTATTTGAGGGACCTCAGACATAGCGGAGGGAGGAGAAGAGAAGGTGTAAGTAGAGAAACATAAGCAGATTCCCATGGGAGGGACAGGTACACGTCGGGGTTCAGGAAGAGAGTGGGTATATCCGTGTGAGGGGAGGCGAGAGAGGAGAATTTCCTGTCTACAGAATGGGCAGCATTGAAAGCCTTTACCAGTTACATGTATACTCATTCTGTAGTTTATTTTTCACCAGGTGCACGTGTGCATGCGTGCTCAAGATACTGAGAGGAGAATGGAGGAGAAGGGGTTGCGGTGTGGCCATCCCCCGGGGGGTGATTTCTCTCTTTCTATCTCTTAGTCTCTATGACAAGCACACATGCCCTAAAGCAAAAATCTCTTAAAAATTTGTTTTTCCTCATAGCTTTAGTTTATCTCTAAAGCCTGATCCAAAATCTGACAATTTCCTATTAGAATGTGTAACTCCTCTCTCTGGAACCCCTTCCACTTTCATTTCTAATGATAAATAATGAAGTCTTTAGAGGCAGTTGTTCCTATTGTAATTCCATATGATCTTGTTTCCAGAAAAATTTTCTAAAAAAAAATAAATAAAAAGACCCCATTTTGGAATTGCTTGGACAAAAGGTCAAGCAATTTATGGCAAAACTAAATAAGGCGTCTTATCAGACTAAACAGCTCTCCGGCAAAGACAACAATTTCCTGACTCTGAGAGCGAGACGAAGACAACAGGCACGTGGCAGCGTGAGGAATCGCCCCTTCTGGGGCTCACGGACCACAGCACGCCCCTGCTACTCATGCGCTGCTGTTCTCCACAGAAGGAATCCCCACGCAGACCGGCAAAGTCGGGGCTGTTCGGGAAGACCTTGAGGTCACTCGCTAGCAAATGTGGCAACCCCTTCGGGTCCCAACAACTCGGTCAGCACGCGGCTCTCAGAAAGCTTTTCTGTTAGAGCTGGAAGGCGAGGCTGTGCCAAAGAGCCAGGACATGCACTGCCCAAGTGACCCTGCCAGCTGCGTGTGCGTATGCACATGTGCAGTAAGTTTTATTTATTTATATTTTTAAAGGAGGTTTTAGCCTTAGGGCACATATGCATGCCTGAGAGAGAAATCACCCTCCCCCCACCCAGGGAGATGGCCACACCACAATCTCCTCCCAGGATCTTGGGCACACATGAGCCTGGCATAATTTTGAAGTGACCAGGTCCAGGACTCGAACCACAGTTGGCCATGTGGGAGTCCAGTGACGTGACAGCTATGCCATCTGCTGGTCCCAGTGCTTATGTTCTTAATCACGCAGAGGAGAAGCTACCCAGGAGCCAGTGGGGCAAGGAAGCAGAGAGGACCTATACTGTAAACCGGTCCTAGAAGGGGTGGCGGGGAACAGCCTGCAGGCCAGACCCCACCCCAGGTCCTGGAGGCCACAGTGGCTGGCGGCTCCTGCATGTGGAAGCCGCAGTCGAACCACCCCGCTCCTGAAGCCAGACCACACCCAGGGCCTGCCCCACAGCCCGATGTCTGCCTCTGTCCAGCGGCCTCAGGGTCGTCTGAGCTGCTGCTGGATAAAGCCACCACACTGCCCGCCTCCCTTACAGATGAGCAGCAGGCCCTCCAGAACCAGGACCTCTGGGTGGGGAAGGCAGAGCCTCAAGAGTCCCTGAGAGGGCTGGGCAGAGCGGGCGGCTTTTGTTCACACGTCCTGAGGGAGATGGAAGTTCGGATCGGAGGGGTCTCCTCATCCCAATAAAGGAATGGAGGAGGAAATTGGTCACTCAGAAACCTCCAGACTGGACCAGGTCCCTGCCGCAGCTTTTCCAAGGCAGCTCCGTGGCCGTCCTGGGCAGAGGGGAGGGCGTCCCGGTTCCCGGGCACCAGTCTCCCGGAGACATGTCAGTTGCGGCCCCTGTGAACGTCTCTGGGAAGGGGATTCTAGGGAAGGAGATTCTCAGACCTTCCTTGGAAAAGTGTAGTAAGTGCTATAACATCAGGAATCTGGCTCTCATTTCTAACCCAGAGTCCCTCAGATCTTTTGTGTGTCTGTCGCCATGGGGATGAGAACTCTCACTGACAGTTTGTGACATTTCCACTTCCTTGTCACCTGTACACCTCCTGGAAGGCCTTTCCTTTCCTTCAGAGAACCCATGCCTCAGCTTCCTTTCTCAGAATGTCGACTCCATCTTGCTGAAGTTAGAAACACCAAGAGTACATATAAGGCCCAAACCAAGCGGCCTCCTCTAAGCCCCGACACGTCCCTGCTGAGGAGGACAGCATGTAGAAGACTCGGTCTACAGACCTTTGAGGGTGGGAGGGACACTTTTGGTTGTGCTGAAGGTGTAGGTTTCCGAGAAGGGCCCTTCCCCAGCCTCGCTGGCTGCCTGGATTTTGAAGGAGTAGCACGTAGATTCCGTTAGTCTCTGGACCTTGTAGGTGTGGCTGGGTCCTCTGTAGATGGAGATGAACCTGGAGGAAGGAGCAGAGTCCATTAGGTGGCTGAACTTCCATTAATGAGGACGGATTAATTATAATGCGAACTAGTGGGTCAGGTTAGGCCGACTCAGTAAACGGTTTTCCTACGGTCTGAATTAATGATCAACCAGCTGCTCTGTTAGGGTTAAGTTGAATGTCTAATGTATGTTTATATAAAAGAAAAACAATCTGAAGCACACAGATCGTGATGAGACTCCTTTAATTATGTTCTAGATTTCATTATTATTCATCTTTTTACTCACTAATAAAAAAACAACTGAAAAATGTATAAGCCGATAGTGTTAACTAACATAAGGTGTACTAGACAATGAGGTTAATGTTAACTGGATACCTGAGAAATAAGATGTTCTCTTTGTCTGAATTTTCCAAAGAATTGAGGTTTGGCCAGAAACAGTTCTTTAATTTTTTTAAAGTGTTCTGTCATAGGGGTAAGTGCACTCACCAGACAGAGAACAAAGTGAGAAGTCCTTCCTTCCCATACAGGGAGAGGGCCATGCCACAATCCCTTCTCATCCACTCTCCTCTTGGGGTTTTGGACACACCTGCTCACGCATGACTTTCAAGCTATTGGGTCCAAGACTCGAATCATTAAGTTGGCCATCAGGGAATCTAGCTGCCTTAACCACCACGTTACTGGCTGGCCCCAGGCATATGGAGTTTTAGGAGAATATGTAAAATAATACTCCATTTAGACTCCTCTGTCAGGTTAATCAAAAGAAGAGAAAAAGCCGAATGGGCAGGACAGTCTGGCCTGGCAATGTCTGGTCCGTCTACCTGATTCAGGACTGTTTTGGACTTCTCTGCTGTTATTTCAATGAAATGTAAGCACAGATGGCACAAAAATTAAAAAGTAAGGCCAGCTAGCCTGTGGCCTATGCTTATTAAGGCAGCTGGAACCCACATGGCTGAGTTTGCAGTCCCAGTCCCAGACCTGGTGGTTTGAGAAACACGCCACGTGTGCGTGCCCAAAATCCAGAAAGGAGGTGGACATGAAGGCAAGATTGTGCTGTGAACATCTCTACGGGGATGCCTTCTCACTTTTTCTCTCTGTCTCTCTCTCTCGTGAGCATGTGTCCTCTAGCAAGATTAAAAAAAAAAAAAGCCTCAGATTCTTGAAACCCTAACATTTTCACAATGAAACTGGATTACTGCAACATACAGTGTACTGTTAATGTTGTTCTTTTTTAGCTGTAAGTTTTTTAAATAACATAACTTCCCGTAAGTTGTCCAGGCTCTGTAGGAGTCTCTGGGTCCACGGTCTGCTGGTCCAAAATCACTTTGGAGCACCAGTACCCAGTCAAGTTCCCGGCACTGTCCAGGCCAACACGGGCCACCTGGGTCTCGCCTCCAGGGCTTTTCCGAGCACCTGAGGACAATCTGCCCGCTTCACAACTGGGGCAGGCAGTGGCATAATCACAGCTCGAGGTGTCTGACTCTCAGGCCAGCTTGGCCTGGGGGGTGGGGAGCAGAATTCACGTGTTCATTTGGCGCATGTTTCTCGGCACCTGCTGCGTGCGAGGCCCTGTGGATTGAAGATGAATGAGGCCTAATCCCTGTGGGTTAGCTGGTCCTATGTGGTAGGGTTTTCCCCAAGGAGAGCAGCAGCCAGTCCGTGTGCTGGAGCACAGACCCTCCGGATGGAGGGATGATACATGGGCAGACACACACAGAGATCAATGACTCCGTTCTACAAAACCCGCCGGGCAGATGCTTAACTTTAAAACATCACGCCTCCTGGGCTTTTGCGATCGAGTTCTCCGGATGGAGGGATGATACATGGGCAGACACACACAGAGATCAATGACTCCGTTCTACAAAACCCGCCGGGCCGGTGCTTAACTTTAAAACATCACGGCCTCCTGGGCTTTTGTGATCGAGTTCCCGAGCCCCAGTCCACTCACCTACTTAGGGTCTGTCTGCTTTACTGGGTAAGGACAAACCTATTACCGAAGGCTGAACATTTTTTATTTCTGGGAACGCTGGCGCCACGCTGAATCCCACAAATACCATGGCAACCTACTGAGCCCTCTTCACACACTGCCATCCTGGTGAGACAGCCTTGCTAATGCTGGAGGCAAACAGCAATTTATTAACTGGGCCTCACCTAGGCTAGGATTCTAATGGGAGTAATTGCCCTTAATTGTATCACAAATGGAAGCCACAGCTTAAGAAGTGTTACATCTTCATTACCAACTTCCCACAGGGCTCACGCTCTTCTCCCACCCTCTGGGGCTCTCTGGGGCGTGCACACCCTATAGCAAATGAAGAAGAAGAAGAGGAAGAGGAAGAAGAAACTAAATGAATGATTCTTATGGGAAAAAGCGTTTGGAGAGGACTTTAGGAACAGAACTGCTTCCCTGCCGCCCTCCTCTCCGCGCGGCCTTCCTTGGGAAGGTAAGTCTGGTCTGTGTCTGAGCCTGGACTGGGATATGACCAGCACCACTCCTGGCCACAGAGAACTTTCCTGAAGCAGATTTACTTCTCTCATTGGGGTGTAATCTAATTCGAGCAAACACATGATCAATTTTCAAAAACATCAAAACCTGCTGTTTTGGGGGTATTTTGTTTCTTTAACTTGGTTTACATTTTTTAAGAAGAATTATTTTTAATTTAAATGTATTTATTATTATTTTTTTAATTTGACCAGAGAGATACAGACAGCGCAAGACAGGGTGCTTGTTGTCCAAAAAAGTGTGAGTGACTAAGAAGGTTCTGAAGGAGACGCTGCCCCCGATTCAGGGAGAGGGGACGAGGCAGCTGCAGGAGGCCGCCCTGCAAGGTGATGCCACTTGGAAAGGAAATTGGGGCTTCTCGGCAGAATGGAGCTCAGAACAGGCCAAGGGGAAGTTATTCCTCCCTCCCTCCTTTTCCAGGTAAGCCCAGTCTGGAGGAGAAGGGATTGTGGCGTGGTCATTTCCCCTGGGGGGTGATTTCTCTCTGTCTCTTTGTCTCTGTCTCTCTGGCAAGCGCACATGTCCTATAGCAAAAAAAAATCTCTCAAAACAGAAAATGACCTTTTTTCACTGAAGTACAACTGAAGTTTCAGTCATGTTACAGCTTTAAATGTTCCTGCAAGCGCAATTATAACTGTGTGTGTGTGCATGTATGCACGTGTGTGTGTGTGTGTGTGTGTGTGTATGTAAAGAATTACTGAATTTTTAAATTTGCTTCCTTAAAACACTGTGGTTTGTAAAGAAGCCTCCAAGAGCGCTTTGGCCTGTCCCTTAAACCCACGGCAGGCAACACGGGAGAGGCTCAGGTTTGTGTGTTTACTGCCTCGCCACTCTCCAGGCCCGAGGCCAACTACAGGCGGACAGCAGCCCATTAATATGGACTCTGTGGAGTGGCCGAACCTGCTCACCTGAAGTGGCCTCCGCAAAGGCTGCAAACGGCCCCTCTCAGAACACGCTCAGCGTCACCGGGCCGCAGCTGTTAGGAAGCCGCCTACGGCCATATTCCTTAACAGCGACATGTTTCTTTTCCTGAATTTTCCTGGACTCCGTGGGCTCTGTGGAGTGTGTGTGTGTGTGTGTGTGTGTGTGAGAGAGAGAGAGAGAGAGAGAGAGAGAGAGAGAGAGAGAGAGACTATTTCCTGCATTACTCAAGTGCCGCTTAGGAATGGAATATCTTCAAAATAGAAACAGCACATGCTCAGCTGCAGGAACACGGAGTCCTACCCGTTCCGTGTAGAGCAGATGGAAACGGGGGCTTGGGTGGGGACACCTGAAGCAGGGAAGCAGCGTTTCCTAAGCTGACTTTGAGGTTGATGACAGTCCCAGTTTACACCCTGAGCATGAAAATGCAGACTTATTATTTCCAAAAGATTAATGATGTCCGACTCCTCCCTCTTACCCCTACCCAGTCCTTGATTAGAGAAGGATCTTTCAGCTTGTGAGTGATCAGGCTATGGTACTTTCTGATTAATGGGTTGAATTTTTATGTTCATTTCTTTCTCTTTCTTTCCTTCTTCCATTCCTCCTTCCCTATCCATGAATGAGACAGAGAGAAAAAGTAAGAGAAAGAGAATCCCAAACAAGGTCTGGAGGCCACAACCCACCAGGCTTCAGCCAGCCTTGTATCCCGGGCATACTCATGCCTGGTGTTCTCAGGGAGGTCTCCAAGTGTGGACCCAGAACTTTACACAGGGATCAGCCTCAGAGCATCGGGGTTTACTGCTGTGCCACCGTCTAGCTCTAGGCGCCTCTGTTTTGCCTTTTTAGTTTTTGCTATAAGGCATGTAAGTTCACCAGAGAGAGACACACAGGAAGGGAAAGTGAGAAATCACTCCCCAGAGAGATGGCCATGTCACAATCCCTTCTCCTCTTGGGATTTTGGGCAGGCATACGCATGCTCCTGGTGTATTACTCAAGCTACCAGGTCCGAGACTCAAAAGTGCACAGTCGGCCATGTGGGGTCCTGCACCCTAATCACCATGCCACCTGCTGACCCCACGCTCCTTTTAGAAGAAGTAAAATTTCACTATAGTTACTGATAACCTTAACTCTTCATAGAGAATAAGGGAATAAAAGGACATTTATTTTCAAATAGAAATTGTTTATTGTTTAAGTTATACTTTATACATTGACACGGTAAAGCAGCAATTTTATGCGTATTCGAAGAAAGAATGACTAGTATTTCTAACTACTACCTGAGAATCTTGAAAACCTCATTCTACTTTGCTTTCAAACATAAATAGCAAATCTCATCTTTAAGAATATTCCTTCCCGAGTTTTCCAGTTTGTTAGTGGCCATGCCTCTACCCAAGGAAAATGTACTCAATTCCATTCTGTTGTTTATTTGCCGATTTTTTTTTTTTTTTGAGAGGTTTTTGCTATAGGGCATGTGCGCTCACCAAAAAGACAGAGACAGAAAGCGAGAAATCACTCCCTCGGGGGATGGCCATGCTGTAATACCTTCTCCTCCATTCTCCTCTCAGGATCTTGGGCACGCGTGCACACACTCCCAGCATGAGTTTAAGCCACCGAGTCTAGGACTCGAACCGTAGCCGACTACATGGGAGTCCAGCGATGTAGCCATTATGCCATTTGCTGGTCCCTTATTTATGCCAATTTTAAAAAGTCTGTATTTATTTTTCCATGAGCAAGAGAAATAGGGAGACAGAAAGCACACCCAAGAAGGTCTTGATACTACAACTGCACCCCAGCGTTGACCTGTCCCCAGTCAGGGGCAAGTGCATGCCTGGTATACCCAGGGAGGTCTTGGGCACGCAGGGCCTCCCTCTATAGGCCAGCTTTGCAGGATGTCTGTTCTACTCCGTGTCACTGTCAGAGTGTTTGCTTAGTTTTTAATAAATGGAGATAAAAACTAATCTAAATGATATCTCTAGTCCCATTAAGATATTAAATAGCTATTTTTTTTTCTACCTCTCATCTCTGCCTGAGCCTAGACATTTGAACTTGAAATTGACTACTCTTTAGGATAAATTTTTTTTTCTTCTTTTTTTAGGTTCCTGTAATAGGCCACATGTGCTTACCAGAGAGAGACAGAGAAGGAAAATGAGAAATCAGTCCTTGTGGGGGATGGCCACACTGCAATGCCTTCTCCTCCATCCTCCTCTAGGGATTTTGGGGGTGCACACGTGCGCATGCGTGCACACACACACAGAAACAAACTCGGTGTGAGTTTCAAGCCACTGGATCTGGGACGCAAACCATGGTTGGCCATGTTAAAGTCCAGTCCTTAACCACCACACCAACTGCGGGTCCCTAGGATGAATTTTAGAGGCTGAATTTTCATTCTTCTCTAAGAAAGGTTTCTAAAAGGTTTCTTTTTCCCCCATCATGTAGGTGAGGAAGGCATCACTACTTCCACTTTGGAGACAAAGACAAAAAGTTAGGGCATGTGCCTCTGGCCCTTTAGACACGCAGTGACGAGTCTGGGATTATAACAAAGATCTGACACCCATGTCAAGAACCACATAACATAAACATGTTCTCTGTCAAACTAAAGTGATCATGTCACCTGAGACCTCGTCCAATGAAGCACGGGAAGTGAATGCCGGGGGTCGCTCACAGGGCAGCCCTGAGCTCGCTGGCTCATGACGGGAAGTGAATGCCGGGGGTCGCTCACAGGCCAGCCCCGAGCCCGCTGGCTCACGGCTGCTCCATTTAGGTCGGCAACTTGCTCTGAGAAGCTCGGCTAGGAGTCTGCTGTAACGGGCAGACCGGGAAAGGTCAGTCCTCTTCCAGGGCCCACACGCATCTGGGCACTTTCGCTGCTTGCCAGCTGCGTATTCTCTCAGGTTTCTTTGTACAGACTGCGTCCTGCCCTCTGTAAGGCCCACAGCAGTCCCTGTGGACGTGACCAAGCCCTGGTTTTGCTGGCTGAAGGGACATGAGCCTGGGGCCCAAGGCTGAGCTGTGGACAGCAAGTGGCCGTTGTCTGCTCCACTAGATCCCCCACCCAATCTCGCTGGAGCCTTGCTGTGAAAAGCACCGGCTGTCTAACAAAACCTGAACAACAGATGAACCATAAATGCATTCCTGGAATCTACGCTCCTACCGCCTCCTCGCTGCTGTGCATGGTTACCGGGAAACAGACCTGCGAGGGTCAGGGCAAAGACAGCAGCGACTCCCTTTCTGCTAAGAGAGGGTCACAGTTCATCTCGGTACCGCGGACACACACATCTTCAAGAGCCAGCGCAGCACTGATGCTTCAGACGCACAGGCGGACCCGTTATTCTCGTGTCTCCACGAGGTTAACGCAGCATTATGAAGAGGTTTGCTTTGGGGATCTATTTTTCTTGAATAACATGAGAAACAAAAACATTCAGATCTGCTGTGCCATTCTGCTAAGATTAATAGACTTAATCACGCTAAAGCCGAACTAATCTAATTTTCATTTTTCTGTTAAGATTAAATAGAGTTTCTTACGTTGTCTGCTCATTTTTAATGTTAATTTCTTTCCTCAGGAAGACAAGCTCTTATAGACAGGCCACATACCTCATAAGGTCTAGCACACAGTTGTAATTCAAGAAACAGCGGCTGACTGAATGATTACAATCTAACCACTAGCTGTATAAACTTAGTCTTATAAATATGAGGTGTTGCTTTAAAGCTGCTACATAAATACGGACTGGGGACCCATGGGTCTAAGGCTTGAATACATGAGAAATGAATGTCCTCTCTAAGGGGGACATTTCTACAAAGTCCACATGATCTGGGTGAGTTCTAAGTTGATGTATGTTGAGGCAAGGGGTTTGGGCAAGATGCCCTTCAGAATTCCTATTTACACAAATAGGCCCCAACATAAGGAAAACCCAAAGCAAATCAGCCAAAAAGTCAACAGTTCTAGAATACAAAGAAAGAAAGACATGGTTACTTGGAGAAAGACCCAGGGTTCTATTCTCTGCTCCGGAGATGTTGCCTTTCCATCCACTCCCGAGTCCTCAGGATCGGGACGTCCTTTTAAGACTCACCCAACCTAAGAAGCCTTCCTTGTTCATTTAATATAAGCCATCATAGATGCCATCCCCCCAATCTGCCTAATACTCCAGGACCATGTCAGTCTTCAAGCCCTCCACACCGTAGTCTGCTTTCACGTATCTGTCCATCTGCCACCTCTCACAGACTTCAGGCTTAAGGGCACAATCTACCTTACTATCTTTGTCCACCCAATACCTACGCATAGTATTTGCATGTATAAGCTGCCAATCATCGTAAGTTCTAATCAATTTGACTTATCAAAAACAATATAGGTTTTCACCTGATGGGTAGGAAGACTTGGTAGAAGTCCCCGAAATAATATAAAGTTCTTTTCGAAACTTTAGAAATATCTTTGGCCAAACACTATATTTATAAATCTCTAGGTCATTTCCAATTTTTTTGATTGAGATGTATATAAACATAAATCAGTGTATCAAAGATGCACAATATGACAGGTTTTGAAAATGAAGTTGTCACTATTGAGCAAGTTAGTGTCCTTATTTTCTTACTTTTTTAAAAATTTAATTTAAAAAAAAATTTTACTTAACAAAAAGTTTATTATGAAAATGTACACGACCTGATTTTTACATCATAGTAAAAACGGGCCTGCTGACGAGGGGACCCGGGTTTGTCTGGTGAACGGCTATTATTTATACTCATCCCAAGGCTTCTAACACGAGGATACTATGTCCTCATATTACACCACTCCAGTGCTGTCCTGTTGCCCACGAGTTGCCATCTCCACACGCTCATCCATCACAAGATTCATAAATGGATCAAATCCCCGCAGTATTCCTTGGGCATGTCTGCCACCATTTAATTTTTAATGATAACTTCTTGTCTATAAATGTTTTCAATTCAGGTGGTGAGCTTTGCTCATGGTACCTACTCTGTGGGCCCAGAGATGCCTTTGAACGGAATTCTCCCTCATTTTCTTACTTCTGAAAAGCAGAAGCTAAAAGTATGGAGACAAAGATAACACACCTCAATCTGTTATGAGGGACAAGTTTTAAAAAGATTTAGCTCACAGATGCCCATTCTGTTTGGTTGTCAGAAAAGTCATGCTGCATTTTTGTGTAGAAAAACACGTCATGACTTTTCTGATGACCCAATATAAAAATTCATTGCTTTAAGATGAAAAATACATAAAGGACATTAAGAATCATCTTCTAGTTTAACCCCTTCATTGTATGGATGAGGAAAAAAAGAGAGCCAATGGTTGAGTCAAAATCAACTCTCAGCTCTTTATTGATTGATTGGAGAGGTTTTTGCTATAGGGTGTGTGCGCTCGCCAGAAAGAGACAGAGACAGAAAGTGAGAAATCACCCCCCAGGGGGGATGGCCATGCCATAATCCCTTCTCCTCCATTTTCCTCTCAGGATCTTGGGCATGCATGCACACGTGCCCCGTGTGAGTTTAAGTCACTGGGTCCAGGACTTGAACAGCGGTTGACTACATGGGAGTCTAGCGACATAGCCATTATGCCAATTGCTGGTCCCTCAACTCAGCTCTTTAATCCGATGATTGGCAAGTATGGAATTAGTAATTGAACATGTTTTTTAAAATTATTCATTTAATTTTATTCATTATTATTACTTTTAAAAATTTGCTATAGGGCACATGCATTCATGAGAGAGAGAGAGCAAGCAAGCCACCAGGTCTGAGACTTCAACCATGGTCAGCCATGTGGGAGTCCGGCACCTCAACCACCATGCCACCTGTCAGCCTGAGTTGTTCCTTTCCATTGATTTGTAGCTAAGAACCCCTTCGTAGCTGGCCAGAGACAGTTTCAGACAACTCCGTCATCAGCAGCCCGCCTTTCAAAAGCCCACAGACTGGTTACATTCACAGCAAGAGAGACACTCTGGGAGCCCACGGACAGAGGAAGCACACTGGAACCACGATTACGCCACCTCTGGATTGCGCCATGGCCAGAAACGGGACACATAATCTTGGCCGCATCCATAGGAAGTACTGGTGCTTACCGACACTGATGCAGATGCTAGACAACACGTGCACTGTTTCAAAAGCCACAACTAGGAAGTCACCCAGCTAGTTCAGTGCGAAAGCAGCTACTTGGGAAGGAAGAGGGCAAGGTGTCTTTTAATTGGAGGGGCCAGTTCCAGGTCCTAAAGAATCTCAGACGACTAGAACCGGGGGACCAGCAGCTAGCGTAATGGCTACGTTGCTGGACTCCCATGTAGTCGACCGTAGTTCGAATTCTGGACCTGGTGGCTTAAAGCGCATGCCCAGCTCGTGTGTGTGTGTGCCCAAGATCCCGAGAGGAGAATGGAGGAGAGGGGTTTGTGGCATGGCCATCCCTCCTGGGGGGTGATTTCTTGCTTTCTGTCTCTCTGTCTTTCTGGTGAGCGCATGCACCCTATGGCAACACCCCCCTACCCCACCACCACCAAAAAAAAGAGGGAAAATAAAAGAGGACTAGAACTGGGAGGCCTAGTATTATGCAGCCAGCTCAGATGGTTTCTTCCTGATCCTCATGGGCCGAGATCGGAAGGTGAAAGCTTGGATTTGAGGGGCAAACTGGAAGAGTTCAGTGTCAAGACAGCAGAGAAGGTCACCTTCAGGCTGGGTCAGCCTGTTCTCATGCTATCACAGCCCAAGAAAATTCTTCCACATATAACCAGAGTTCACTGTGCTCTATATTCCCATCACTGTGATGCATCTCTAAGAACAAGGATGAATCTAATTTAGAAAAGATAAATTTGGACTCCAGCTCATAAAATTAAGAAAAATACTGTTCCTAATGGTGAGCTTTCTTAAACTGCCTTTTAAATGTGGGCACGTCATTTGTGATTCCCCAGGCCAGCATCAGGACAGGGCACACACCGATCAGATTCTGTGCTCCTCAGGACAGGGCACACGTAACCGTCAAAGGACAGCATGCCTTGGACACGTACCTGTGCGGCCAGCACTGTGCTGAGGAGCCACTGGGAATCGCGTCCGATGGTGGGCCACAACCACCTCTGCCCAGCTCTCCACGGGGCCCTGGATGGCAGCCCCACACAGGGCAGGGCTCGGCAAGCTGGGGCGACATTACTGGCGCTGGCAGTAGACACGGGGCCTTGGGGGTCAGGGGACAGTGGCTCGGCTCCCAATTCAGTCACTGAGGTTGGCGACCTTTCTGTGCTTGCTGTTTGCTGTCTTGTTTTGCTAGAGGATGCGCCCTCACCAGAGACGACAGAGACAGGGCAAGCGAGAGTAGTCGCCCTCACGGGGAAGGGTCAGCTCTCCCTTCTCCTCCGTCTCTCCGACCTGCCAGGCTGGGGGCATGCACTCACACGCCCAGCGTGTTTCTCAGGCCACCGGGTCCTGGACTCGAGACACGGGGTCGGCCACGCAGGAGCAGGTACAACTGGATGCTATTCTCTATGGAGAGTTCTACCACCGAGGCCAGAAGTCCATGGAAAACATAAAGATGTGTTTAAGAATGGCCCCCAATTCTAGCATTCCATATTTCCTGGGGTTTCTGTTCCTCATTCCTACTCTGCAGTCCCTTCCTGCTCGGAGTCTGCTGCCAGGACAATGATCCAAGCACACAGCACAGGAACACAAACGGTTGTGTGTGTGAAAGAGAAGGACTTGATCTCTAACGAACCTATCAAAGGCAGCCTTACTTTCTCTGTGCTCTTTATAGCAGGACTAGTTTCCAACAGGACAATTCTTTTTTGTCCTTTGTAGTCAAACTATCAGGATTGCTAGGTCCTTCAAAGTCAAGTTCAAATATCACCACCTTCAAAAAACCTTTCCTGATCTTCTAAGAGAGAGATTTGTGCTATAGGGTACATGTGCTTGCTGGAGAGACAGAGACAGAAAGTGAGAAATCACCCCTCGGGGGGATGACCATGCTGCAATCCCTTCTGCTCCATTCTCCTCTTGGGATTTTGGCACACACGTACACGCGCCCAGCATGAGTTCAAGCTGCCAAGTCCAGGACTCGAACCATGGTCAGCCATGTGAGAGCCCAGCACCTTAACCACTAGGCCACCTGCTGGTGCCAACCTCTCCCCATCTTAGTAACCAGATGGTCTCTGCCTCCTCCAACTCACGAGCACTTCTCTCCTGTGGTGTCAATGCACCGTGACCACGTGTGGCTTGGTAAGCTCCTGGAGGCCTGGCCTTGTAATTCCTTCATCTTGGTCTCTACTGACGGCCCCCAGGGTCCACTGCATGGAACGAATCCAAGCCCCTGACCACAGCGTTGCGGTGGAGACTGGAGGGAGTTTCTGTGGTAAGTAGGTCAGCTGCCTGAATAGGAACAGTCTCCTTAAACGTATGAAGGAGGGTGACAGACACACCTGAGGGACACGGGGCTCGTGCTTCAGCAGGCACGA